TTCACTTACAATAAGAGAAATACACATTGTAACTACACTGAATTGGCAAAAAGTTCAAAAGCTTGACAACACACTGTACTGGAGAACCTCTCAAGAAATTGTAATTCTCATATACAAAATGGTAAATTTTGTATGGAAATCAAAATGGTAAATAAAACCCTATGAGGATGATTTGACAATATCAAACAAAACATAAGCCCCAGCAATTTCATTTCGGAATTTACCTCGAAGATGTATTTCCAACAACATGAAAATACATATGCACATGGTTATTCATTGCAACATTATGTATAACAGCAAAATATTGGAAACTGCCTCAACTCCCATAATCAGAGATTGCATGAATTAAATGCGGTACACACATTTTTGGAGTATGAGGCAGCTGTAGAAAAGAATGAAAAAAACTTCTGAAAATTGTGTGGAATGATTTCCAGAATTCATTGTTCAGTGGAAAAAGTGAATTGCATAAGCGGTATGCTATCTTCTACGCAAGAAATAGAAATAAGGAAATATACACAAACCTGCTTATGTTTGCAAAAAAGGAGAAAGAAACATAAGAAAGGTAAACTAGAAACTAAGGAAACTAATTACCTACAGGGGTAGGTACAGATGGAGTGGAAGGGAGAATGATATTTCTCTGACTCTACTTTTTGGCATAGCTTGGACAAACTTTTGGAACCTTGTTAATGTGTTACGAAATCAGTAAATAAAATTCAATCAGTATGTATGGTGAGGTCAACCCTAACACTGAATAAAGCCTAAACAAATAAACTGAACTATGTGCCAAATGGATAACATTACTGTACAAGAAAAAAGAAAAAAAGAACTAATTCGAGTAGCTTTGAATACAGTACTTCGACTTTGTACCGTTGGTCTAAATGCAAAAACACGCAAACGAAAAAACAACAGCAAAAACCAAACTCTGCAAAAAATCTATAACTTTGCTTAATAAATCTGTGGTTGATGGTAATACAAGTATAACAATTTTGAAACCATTTTTGTGCATCATAAGACTGAGAAAATGAGTAAACAGACTGACATTGTTAGGAGCCAGAGTTTTCACTGTGTGAGAAGGAAGATATAAATAAGCCATGGAGAAAGGTAAGTGTATTAGTTTCCTATGGCTGCTGTGACAAAGTGTCACAAACTGGGTAGCTTAAAGGACAGAAATTTATTGTCTCAGTTCTGGAGGATGAAAGTCCAAGATCAAGGTGTCGGCAGGGTTGCTTCTTTCTGAGGCCGTGAGGGAGAATCTGTTGCAGGCCCCTCCTCTACCTTCTGGTGGTTTGCTAGCAATTTTGGCATGCTTTGGCTTGTGGAAGCATTACTGTCATTTCTGTCTTCATCGTCACATAGTGTTCTCCCTGCATGCATCTGTGTCCAAATTTTGCTTTTCAGTCATGTTGGATTAGGGTTCATTCTATGGCTTCAACTTAACCTGAACATCTGCAAAGATCCTCTTTCCAAATGAAGTTACATCCATAGATGCTAGGGGCTAGGATTTCAACACATTTCGGAGTACACAGTTCAACGCATAACACTAATGAAAAATCTTGTGGCATTGGATTGGGATGCGAAGTATCAGAATGAATTCATGCTTTAAAAAAAATTCAGCCTGCCGGTCTGGAAGCTGTCACCTCAGCAGCTCCGAGCACAACCGAGGCCCAGATTTTGGTTTCTAAATACCATTCTTCACTAAAAAAGATAGCACTTTTGGGGTAAATGGGTGATTATAGGACTGAGAAAGGAAAAGTCCATGAGCTTGGAACCTTCTGCTATGCCTGAAAGTAAGAAAGTGCTATGGGAGTGGTGGGGACATGTCTAAAGGATACTGAGCAAGTCCACAGGAAGAGGATGCCCCTGGCCAGAACTGGGACCATTGGAGCATCGGAACGAAGGATGACAGTAACGGACATGCACATTCAATCAAAAAGAACGCGTGAATCCAGACCGAGTCTAAAAATGAAACAAACATACAAATAAATTGGGGGAGACGGAGAAGCTCCTCTTTCTAATAGAAAGATGACAACAAATGTAGAAGGAATGAGAGCTGAAAAACAAACATTTTGCAGTCATCATCGGATAATCGATTCAAACAAGAATACTCGAACCATTGAGTGAAAGCTTGTTGGATAATCAGATATTTACGGTCTCGAAGTAGCTCCCCAGAGAATAAGTAATTACAAAGGGAGGAAAGGACATCTTTGCAGTGAAGAAATCTGGGGGACACCACCTTCACCAAGTGATTAAAGTAAACAGCAACACTGGAACCGTCTGACCCCATGGCCCCTGGGGCATCGCTTGGAGAACACAGCGTCACTCAGGCAGTATTCCTGCCAGAAGTACGGAATCCGAATCAAGTCTCAAGGAAACAATCCAACAAGTGCAAACTGAGGGGTGTTCTCAAAACAATAGGTTTGCATCCTTCAAATATGTCATGAAACACAAAGAAAAGATGAGAAACTTCCAGATTAAAAGAACGAGATTTTTTATGGGGGCTTATAAATAAATGTACCCTAAAATTTATAGAGAGGTAAAAAGGATCCTTGAATAGGTAAGTCGATTTTAAAAAAAGAAAAGCAAACAGGGAGCATTTACCCTACCAGAAATACAGACTACTTTTAAAAAATAAAAACAGCACGAAAACAGACCAATAGACCAATGCGACAGAATAGAGCGCTCGGAGCCATGTGTATTTGGCAGCTTAATATAAGAAAATTTGGCATCACTAATCAATTTTTTTTTAGGTAAATGGTATTGGGAAAACTGGTTCATTATACAGAAAAAAATAAAACGGGTTCCTTACCTACCACCATTAAAAGCTTGACAATGTCTACAATAAAATTTTTTTTTTTTTTAGTACTGAGATTTTAAAAAGTGATAAACAAAATGAGATTTTAAAAGCTGATCTCACTTAGGTAAATACAGACACACACACAAAACGAACACACATTTACAAGAGCACAGAGTGAGACACACCTAATGAGTTAGAGCAGCTGCGTGTGGGGCAGGGGAGGAGCGAGAGGAGGGAATGGGGATAAAAGGAATTAATTAGTTACTTAAATACAACTAGGGAGGGGCTTTTTAAAGACCAGAGGCGACTGTATCCCACGGACTGAGGACTGCAGCTAACACCATCCTCCGCACCTGAGGCCCCAGGAAAGGGAAGAGCAGGGAGATGAGAAAGGACAAAGATGCTCACAAAATTCTTGTGGCTCCACCACCCAGGAGAAGAGATGTTATCATCCCAGCGTTTCCTCCTAGTGTGTCTTTCTATCCCTCTAAAAATTGATCCCTTCCTTTTCACTCATTCTCCGGCTCTGGAGGCATATAGAAATGGGTTAAAATTCTGGATTAACGATTTTCCTAGTGGTGTTATTTTGGGCAAGTTGCCTCCTCTTCTGCAGCCTTAGTTTTCTCCATCTGAAAAGCAGAAACGATCGTGGCCGGCCTCGCAAGATTGTGGGATGGTGAAATCAAATGATCAATATGGAAAAGCACCTGACCTTAACTTAATCCCAGCTGCTTTTCCTCTTCGAGCGTCACTGGGGTGGCTCCCTCTGGGTGCTTCACACAGCTTCATGCAGACAGAGGCGGTCAATAAATACTTGTCAGACCGAACGGAATTACGAGAGAGCCAGATCTCACCTGTGCTCTTTCATCCCGAAGCACCTCCTCTTTTGCTAGGACGCAGATGCTGACAGACGGTAGGATGTTACGCATGTCCTGTTTTTTTTACCCCCATGTTCCATTCTCTCAGTCCCGCGTGCAAGGAAAAGAAACTCACTCTTTTGGGTCACCCAGTTCACATGGCAAGGGTGAGGGACCCCAGAGATGTTTTTCATCATTTGCAGCATTTTCCAGGGAAGAGTTCAAAGATGTGGAAATTGACAGAAATATTGCGAGAAATATTGAAAAAGGCTCCCTGGCTGCTGGGAATGAGGACACTCACCCTCCAGGGCCCAAAAGCCCTTGGCAGTTTCCTGCCTTCAGAGTGAGTCTGTCTCACATGAGTCACCCTGGAAGTGCCACATATGGTAATGTGTCATTTCCCTGAATCACTCTTGGGGAGGCTGGGAACAGCCTAGACCAGGCGTGAACACATCTCGGGATGACCGCGGGGTTCCCAGGTGGCCCCGTGCAGCAAGGTCCGAGGAGTCCCATAGATGCCTATGGCTCTAGTGTTTGGCATTCATCGTTAGAAGTGCTCTGCTGACATCTGTGACTCAGACTTTTAGAAATTCCTAGAACAGAGGCCTCGTGAATCTGAAGGGCCCCTCGGACACCTGGCTAATCTGGTCCCCTGCTCTTCCTGGCCACTAGGCCTCCAGCGATGCTTCAGAAGATAGAGCAGGGGATTTGGGTTTTGTTTTTCACACGGGTTTGGGTTGTGGGGGGGTGCGCCAGCATACCCAGGAGCACAGGATGTCAACACGGGGCATTCGGCAGGCATCCCGTGCCTCTCCCCCCACTTCGTGGACCAGGAAGCCAAGTCCGGAGAGGGCAAAGGACTTGTCCAAGGTCAGGCAGAGGAGGATCAGTTCCTGCCACGTGGTTCTGGCTTTTGGGAGACAAGGGGTGAGGTCATGGGAGTGAAGCTCAGAGGGCCGCTTCAGAATCCCAGACTAAATCCACAGATGAAGTCACAGAATCAGAATCCTGGCTCCCAAGAGGCCTCCCTGCTCCTCAGGCCACCGGAGCTGGGGTGGGTGGGGGGTCGTGAGCGCAGACAGCTTGGAAAGACTCAGGCTCCAACCCTGAGACGAATTTACTGGTGCAGGGTTTAGGGAAGTCACTTCACTTCTCTGTTTTGGTTTTTCCTTAGTGAAACCTGACCCCCCTGCAGAGCTGTTATAAAGATTAAATCAATGGTCCCCAAGCTTTGTGGCACCAGGGACCAGCGCTCCTATGAGAACCTAATGCCTGATGCTCTGAGGCGGAGCCAAGGCGGTGATGCTGGCGCTGGGGAGCGGCTGCAGACACAGATGGACCTTCGCTCACTCGCCCGCCGCTCACCTCCTGCTGTGCGGCCCGGGTCCTAACAGGCCACATGGACAGGTACTGGTCTGTGGCCCATGGGGGCTGGGGACCCCTGGATCAGATGACTCGAGGCATAAAGTGGTGAGTGGGACTTGGGCTCAAATTCCATGGCCCACGGGCACACAGGGAGCAGCCTGGGCACAAGCCCGGCCTCCCCCTGGGTGATGGCCTCGGCGGAAACCTCACAGCCTCCCCGAGCCCCCGTCTCCTCCTGTGGCCTCGGCGTGGGAGACCCACTGCATGACGAGGCACGGTGTGTGGGAGCACAGGCCACGCCCAGGGCTGCCATCGCTGGCAGAAGCCAGTCCGAAGCCACCATCTCCTGGAGGGGACCGGGACACACCACCCCACTGGGTGCCACCTGGCATTTTGACTATTTCCAGTTAAAGATGCTTGAAAAACAGCAGGTTCAAGAAAAATGCTCTGACCTCCCTTCTCTTCCTTAAAAGCAGGAGATGCGATTCCCATGGAAAAGATGCCTCTCTGTGCCAGAAAGGAAGTCACCTTCCCGCCATCGATGGGAGGCTGGCACCAAGGGATTCGGAACCTCGTTAAAATAACTCTACCTCCCCTTGGCATCCCCAGGTATTTCAGCTTCTTTCCTACAATTGCCTCTCTCTGTTTCACCTCGCGTAAAGGCATTTAAATTTCATTACTTCCCTGGGTCTTCATTTCCGTATGAGGGCTCCCGTGTCACGTAAAACTTCTATTAAATAAATCTGTATGTGTTTCTCCTGTTGATCTGTCCTGTGTCGATTTAACTCCCAGGCCCAGCTGAAAACGCCAAGAGGCAGAGGGGAAATCTTGTCTCCCTCGGCTGCCCGCGGCGCCTCCGTCTGGCTGCTTTCAGCCTGAGTAGTCGATTTGAGCCCTAAGACCGGCCGTCCTTCTGTGTGAACCATCCGAGTCCCTCCACGCCTGTGTCACTGTGCCTGGAAACAAGGCAGAGGCCCTGGCTATGATGGGACAGCACCAGGTCACACAGGCAGGGCCCCCGTGGCCGGGCACAGGCCGGAGAACCGGGAAGCTGAGCTGACGAGGATGCTAAGATCTGAGAACCGTGGAGCTGGGAGGAGGCTGGTCCAGTATGCTCATGTTGTTGATGGAGAAACTGAGGCCCAGAGTGAAGAAAAGACTTACCCAGGGACACGTGGCCCTGGTGGCGACAGTGGCATTGGAATTCTGGTTTGCAGTTCTGTACTCTTTCTGTCACACCTTGCCCTTGGAATGAATATTCTAGTAAACGTAGACTGCGATTTAGACGTGTTCACTCTGAGCTCACAGATGCTTAACTCTCTGTTGTATTCTTGGTTAGAGGCTTAAATGCAGTTCAAGGGGTTAATTCCTGGAGTCATGTGCCTTAAACCCAGAGCTGCCTAAGCTTGGTGGCTTAAAGAGACATTACATATTACTATTATTTGTATATTAACTCCTGGTACGTCGCTTTACTCTTTCAAAGTAATTTCCCTGCATGGTCCTATCTAACTCTCTCGATAGCCCCAGGAGGTAGGTTTCATGGTCTCCATCTTCAGGACCTGAGGCTTAGACAGACGAAGTTAGTCACTCGTTAGTCACTCCCGTCCAAGGGTCTTTCTCGCCAACCCCACAGAGAATTCAAGAGCCCAGACTCATTTGCCATTGGCTAGACCAGTGTCCATCCTGGAAGCAGACATGCTGGCCACTCATGGGCGTCTTATGTTGTTGGGCCTCGGCCATTTTAAAACATCTTGAGTCAGCTTATAAAGTCCAGAGACTTCTTTAAAAGGGAGGGTTTGTCTTTAAAAAGAAAAGTCTGGAAGCTCCGGCAGCCCTGGGGTCCACCGTCTTCTCTCTGTTCGGCAGACCGCCTCTCTTTGGTGTGTCTGCTTTGCTTGGTTCTCGTCATCACGATTTCACAGTTGCTTCCACCTGTGACAGGACCATGGTAGCCAAGTGTGGAGTACGTCACTCCACAGCACCCAGAGCCTGGTCCAGGCCAGGCGTCTGGATCCCTCCTCGTCTGGGAAGAGTCTCTTCGGGAAGGGGTGCGGGGAGGCCGTGGTCGGGTCTCAAGGGAAGAGATGCGCCAACTCGTGCTCAGCGGCGTCCGCATTCGCGAGGGCCGGCTGCGGCCCAGCTCTGCTGAGGGGCGTGGAGCAGAGTGCGGATCCCTGTGACTCCCCTCAGAGCATCGCCAGCCGAATCTACTGACACACATGTGAGCTCCAGTTCCAGGGCTAGCCAGCTGTCACTCATTAGCGTGTGCCCTTGGTAGGCCACTTGTCCTCCTGGGGCTCCAGCACCCCCTCCGAGGAATGAGGACTGAACAGCTCAGGTGGCTGCCCCTCTGTCTCTCCCACAGTCCATTCCATTGACAAAGGCCATGGCCGGGCCGTCTCTCACACTGGCTCTGTTCTGGTTTATCTCGTTTAGAGAAGGGACAATAATAGATGGCCTCTGCCCGGGGCTGCAGAGTCCTCTTCAGTGTAAGCGCTGCTCTGGCCTGTCATTTCCTATTTTTAATAACACCGAAGAGCACCTCTGGGCTGCGCTGGAGCCCGCTGATTGCTGACCTAGTGGTGGGACAGCTAATTAAAGCCACAAGTCCTGGGAACAGCAAAGGGAAATCAAATCATGATGAAAACCATAGGCTCTCTGGAGTACAGGCCTTTATTAAATCCCAGTCTACTGGTGACACTTCAGGGTACAAAGAGATTTTTGCTCTATTTTTGGAACTGCTGGAAGATTTAAATCCACAGCCATTTGTCGAGTGTCACCTTCGGTAGATAGTTTGGAGTGACTGAGCATCATCTGATGCAGCACCCATCTGAACAGCACTTTACAGGCTGCAGGGCATAGTCACATTGTTTCTGTTAATCCTTACTGGAGGAATCAGAAACTCAAAGGGTGATCTGCCAGGCACAGGCCAGCAAGGGGAGAGGCTGCAGGGAATCCCAGGTCGGCCTCCAGATTCAGGGCTCTTGGTGCCGTATCACGCCACACGCAGACATAGTCAAACTGTTAGAAGACGCCGGCCGGAGAGTTTAAAAACCATGTTATTATCATTTTTTTTTTTTAATAAAAAGCTCTTGGAAGTGTTAGCATTTGATATGGGCCTTAAAATGGGTATGATGTTTTTCCTTTTTATTATTTAATAGGTCATTATAGAAGATTTGGAAAGTAAAATAAAATACAAAGATTTATAATTCTAATGTACAGGTGCTGTTCCTGTAAGTCATTTACACTGTTGCATTTTTTAACTACTTGAAATTGTACATTCTATCTAGTTTTGAATTTTTTTATTTTTAACTTACATTTTATCACATTCATTTCGAATGGACTGACTCCAGCAGGAAGCGAGGGTGCATGACTGAGAAATTCTGGACGGAGAACATAGATGGAGAAAGGTGTGGGGACAGGGAAACACAGGGCGTATTCACGAAGTGGTGAGTAATTCTTTGAGGCTAAACTTGTGACTCTATGACGAGTCGGGGTTTAGCAAGGAGTCTAGCAAGACGTTTAATGTCAGACGGTGGAGAGCCTTGAATGACATGCCGAGGAATCTGTAGTTTATTTTATTCTTATTAAAGAATAATACACTTTGCATTGTACATATTTGGAAAAATACAAATGAGAACAAACATTTAGAAATAATTCACCATCTAACCACCCAGATATAATTGCTATTAATATTTTGATACATGTATAACCTTCCAATTTTTTTTTCTGTACAAATATTTTTCCCCCCTCAAATAGGCACATAAAATACAGATTCTTTTCTAATTTGATTATAAGTCTATTAACATCTTTCTCGGTCATTAAAAATTCTTTTGCAATAATGTTTTTAAACATTTTATGCCCTGAAACTGGTTTTAAACAAATCCTACCAGGAACCTCAAAAGCTAAAAGGGATTAAAACAGAGCTCCTGTAATCAGAACACACATGGGGGCTCCGATGCCTGCCTGACCCTATAAGCCATTCGACCCCATTCTGAGAACGTCTGTTGCATAATGTCATTTTTATGGCTGCATGGTAAGAATATAACACCATCTAGTTAGTCAGCTTTCTCCGTTGTTTCCAATTTTTCCCTTCGTAAATTGACACTATATTCTTTTGAGCACATCCTATAATTATTTCGCAATGAAGTTTTTGAACATGGGGTGTGACATAATCAGAGCTATTAATTCGAATGTCAAATACAGTAAAATCTTACTTAACTGGAATTCAGCAAACCACAGTCCTTAATTAACCAATTTTCTTTTGCTCAACTGTGGGGAACATAAAGGAAACTCCGTCCCTCCCTCCACCTCTCTCTCTCTCTTCCTCTCTCTCAAACACACACATGCACAATTATGAAATAGAGATAATTTTTAACAAATATGTGCAATAACTGTACTCTAAAAACCACAAAACATCACAGAGAGAGACTAAAGACGAGTATAAATGGTGAGGTATTCCATAATCACGGACTGAAAGACTAAATATTGTTAAAACGTCCATTCTCCCCTAAACTGATCTACAGATTAAACATAATTCATACTCAAAATATTAGCAGGCTTATTTTGAAAAATTTAGTGAGCAAATTTTGAAATTTATGTGGAGATGCAAAGCATACAGAATAACCAAACCAATACTGAAAACTTACACTGTAGTTTCAAGACCTACCATAAAGCTAACAGTAACCAAGGTAGGTAATCAAGTAAAAGCTGACATATAAACCAACAGAACAGAATAGAAAGTCCAGAAATAGACCCACGCAGATGTATAGTCAATTGATTTTCTAGCAAAGGTGCCGAAACAATCAAATAGAGGTAAGGATAATCTTTTCAACAAAAGGGGCTGGAATCATTGGTTGGCTGTATGCACAAAAATAAGCTAAAGCTATAAACCTTCTTTGAAAAAAAAAAAAGAAAATCTTAGTGATCTTGGGTTAAGCAAAGATTTTAAAAAAATAGAACACATAAAAGAAAAAAAAGTCCATTAACTTGGACTTTATAAAAATGAAAATTGCCTGCTTTTTGAAAGAACAATTATGAAAATGAAAAAGTAAGTCACAGACTGCGAGACTATGTTTGCAAAACATCCATAAAAGACTTGTGTCCACAATACACAAAGAATTCTCACAACTCGATAATGAGGCAAGACAATTAAAATTGGGCAAAGATTTGAACAGACACTTCATCAAAAAATAAGATGCCAAACAAGCTCATGAACAGATGTGTCACATCTTTAGTCATTATGGAAATGCAAATTTAAACCAAAGGAGAAACCATTACATAACTCACTGAAGTGGGTAAAATTTAAAAGATTGTCAATGCCAAGTGTTGGCTAGAGTATAAAGCGACGGTTTAGCATTTACTTACCAAGTTAAACATTCACTTACCATATGACTCAGAAATTCCATTCTTGGATACTTCTTAAGTGAAATGAAAACATATGTCTATCCGAAGACTTGTGCATGAATTGGAAAGACTCCAAATGTCCATTGATTGGTAAGTGGATAATGAAAAATCTGTATCTAAATAGAATACTACTCAGCAAGTAATAGTAATAACACATGCAACAACATGGATGAACCATAGAAAAAGTCAGCTCCAAAAGACCGCGCATTTATATGAAGCTCTAGAAAATGCAAAACGGTAATGATGACGGCAGATCAGCGGTTGCTAGGGGGTCAGTGGCTGAGGGTAGGGATGGACTGCAATGCTCTAAATCACTTTTTGGATAGTGGTTGTACTACTATATACATATGTCGAAAATCATCATGTACATTTGAAATTGCCAAATTTCATTGCCAAGAAATGAGACTTCTATTGGCATTTCGATTCACCTTCGCTCACTTTTTTGTTATTCTTCTAGTCACTCAGTAGCTTCACATTTAATGGTTCAGAATTGTGATGTCTGCTAGTGTCAAGGATAGAGTTTATGTTTCGGTTTCTCTTGTTTTGAGGTATCTTTTTTGAGAGAAAAAATGAAGTGAGAACATCTTTCCCTCATTATTGTAAACTTGGAAGTCTTAGAGATGATATTTAAAACCACAGGGCTATTCCTTAATGTATTAATTTACATTTTGTGACACTACTTCTGAGTCCTCACATGATAAATAAGGACTCAGATCATCCCTACCTCCCTACTTCCCCTTCCCTCTATTCCCCTCAGTAGTTATAAAACTACTGAGTTATACCGACAGTCAGGACATATTTTGTTATGATTGCGCAAATGTCATTCACTAAAGAACCACATGAATACTGTGCCCGTAACAACTTCGTCATTCAGTCTATCACTTTCCTGGAGTTACTCATTTCCTCCTTTTTTCCCCATGTGCCTGATTTTCTACATGTCTACCATTATTATTCTATATCATTATTTTTTCCTAATGTCCCAACAAAGTCTGCCTCGA